TGTGGATGTAAGTATGGCTATGGGTATGCGGTGAGAGTGGATGAAATAACGAAGGAGCGTGTCTATGTTGTTGTGGCGATGATGTAAGTCTGGGTCTACGTATGGAGACAATTGTTAATGTGGGTGTGTTAAGGGAGTGGGTGTGAATGTTCGGTGCCCCTTCAGTAGGCTGGGCAAGCCTGAAAGCACGTGTACACAGGCTAAAGGTGACCACATAAGGGCCTGATGAGTCGGTTTCTGCAGCAATCCTTTCGTGCCTGCCAAGTGGGGGTCTACATGCTCCTATCTGCAATCAGTGCAAAATCTCCAAATTATCAGACTCCAGCTGAGCGGCGTAGTAACTTTACAATCTGCCGGTACAGGACCCGGCCAGCCGGTCGAGGCGAACTGGCTGGAAGAAGAGGGGGCCTGCCGGGCATGTAGCGGCCGGCCGGTTGTGTTCATCGGTCCGTCTGTAGCCCGGTCCGAGTGTGGTCCCTTCTCAGGACAATTAGAGGTAGCCGAGGCGAGAGAGCATCCTTCCAGCTCTTGCCTACCACACATGATCTGCACCGTCGGTCTCTGGCCCGGCTGGCAACACACAAGTAAGCCGCAAGCCTGCCTCTGTGGCGGGGTGTACTCACTCGACCGTCGATTCACTCCAGGCTCGGACAGAACTCAGGCCAGTCGGCAACCGACCCGGCTACACGATTTTGGCCGCATCGAGGGTGCATCTCTCTGTCCTCTTGGAGATTACTTTCGCAGACCGTTGCGTTGACAACAGTCGGTCTGGGACACAGTTACTCTCTCATCTGGTATGCAATTACACGGGACATTATGAAAGGCTTAGGCTTAGGTGGAAAAAGCATTGAAGAAGTGATTTTGTGAGTTAACTTTTGCGTAATTTTTTTACTGGACTGACTGGAAAAGGCAGCATTGCCAGACAAGCTAAGCTTATCATAAGTGCTCGACTAGCCAAATAATCTAAAATTACGCAAATCAGAATAGCAGAGGATGCTTGGGCCGTATCTCAATTAGTATCACTACGACTAACTACCGTTGTATTGAAACTATACTTGCAAATAAATTTAAGCATTCCAAACAAAAATCTGTAAAAAGTTGATTTGACCTCTTTTTCGCAACTTGATCGTGTCGTCAAGGCGACTTATTTAGACGAACCTTAGCTGAAGTCC